TTTTTGAGACGGAGTTTCACTCATTACCCAGGCTGGAGTGCAATGGCGCGATCTCGGCTCACTGCAACATCCGCCTCCTGGGTTCAGGCAATTCTCCTGCCTCAGCCTCCTGAGTAGCTGGAATTACAGGCACACGCCACCATGCCCAGCTAATTTTTTGTATTTTTAGTAGAGACGGGATTTCACCATGTTGACCAGGATGGAGTCTTGCTCTGTCGCCCACGCTGGAGTGCAATGGCACAATCTTGCCTCACTGCAACCTCTGCCTCCCAGCTTCAAGCTATTCTCCTGCCTCAGCCTCCCAAGTAGCTGGGATTACAGGCACCTGCCACCACACCTGGCTAATTTTTATATTTTTACTAGAGACGAGGTTTCACCGTGTTGGCCAGGCTGGTCTCAAACTCCTGGCCTCCTGTGATCCACCTGCCTCAGCCTCCCAAAGTGCTGAGATTACAGGCATGAGCCACCATGCCCAGCTCATATTCCACTTTCTTCATGATTTTGTCATGTGTAAGTCTTAAAATACTATGATGGCCGTAACACATATTTTACATTTATTATTTCATACAGTTAGCATGAATGGATTTATTCTGACAAAAGCATTAGCTTTCTGACCTTCGTAAAGCCACTCTACTAATTGTTTAAGCTCATTTGCTCTTCAGTTCATTTAACTAATATTTATTGAGTGCTTTGTATTTTCTAGGATTTGTCTACCTGATGTGGGTGGTAGGTGGGGGTGGAGGGAAAAAGATAAGAAGACAGAGATGAGTAGAGCATGGTACCTGCCTCAGAGGGATTCAGAATAAAATAGTTATGCAGTTTCAGACTGATCATAGAATGCTGAGAGAGCAGGATTGAGACTTTGGAGGAGGTGTGAAACTATACAGAGTTGAGCAGGAAAGGCTAGATAAATAAGTAGGAAGAGTTTGTTAAGCATATTTCTGAGATTCATCTTTCCTGGATCTTGGCCAGATTTTTTTTTTAACTTTTCTGACCATGAATTAAAAGTCATTGAGATTTTTTTATAATGTTCAATTCAGTCTGATGGTTGTAATCAGGAGGTTCTCAGATTAATATTGTTTAGAAACTATCAATTTTTTGTAGGTATGGTAAATCAAATAATAGAAACAGTATAACCATAACTTTAACAAATATTTTGGCATATAGTTCTTATATGGAATATAGATGTGTTGTATGTAAATGTGTTTTCATTTCATCTGAATTTCTTTGTACAGATTTTGCAGAATAAAATGCCAGTTACTTTCTTCTACTGTTTCTTTTATTTTTCCTTTTAAAAAAATTATTACAAAAGGTGATTTGTATGTTACTTACAACATGTATTTACCACAACTATTTTTCTTTTTTTGCTTCCAGTGTAAAACTCTTTCTGGAGTCTGTGACCACATCATATCCCTGTCATCCGATCCTCTGGTTTCACAGTCTGCTCACCTGGAAGTGATTCAGCTGGCAAACATCAAACCAAGCGAAGGGCTGGTAAGAGATGCCATGTTTATCAAAACCACCATCCATCAGTAGACAGCTAATGATGTGGCCAAAGCAGCCTCTGAATGTGGGAATCTATGAATTTCAACAGACACTGAACATTTTGGTATTTTTTTTCCTAGAGGAGTTATGGTAGTGGAAGTTTGTGATGCATGATAAGAAGTTTTATGAAGATAAATGAAAATGAAGGAGAATTGAAAATGGTGACTTCTGAATTAATTTAATTTGGTAATCATTTAGCTTCGATTACATTCTTTGACCCCCTCACCAAAGTTCCTTAGGTTTAAAGGAAGTTTAAGAGTTTTATAATAAACACCACAATGTTACCTGCTCATGAAAGTAGATGTTTTTGTTTACTTTGGTTTGTTCTGATTTTAATAGTTATTCCTTCCCCTAGGGTGGGTTAGCTAAACAAAACTGATAATTCTTTATAACTCACATTCATTCTTAGAAGGGTAAGTAAGCAAGTGGATATTGCCAGCACTAGATGTCTATGAGTTGTAGTTTTTAATTATGTAATAATAAGTATAATCGTGTTCTATATTTTGTTCACCTGATTAAAAAATGTATTGGTTCTAGATATAACCCAGGAGAGATTTTTAAAAAAATAAGTTTGTAGAAAGAAAGCATATAAAACTTGATATTGAGACAAAAAGCAAGAAACTGGCTACAGAATATCTTAACTACTACACAACTATTACATGTTAGTTTAGTGCTATAGTGTTTCCACTTTTTCCCTGTACCTGAATTTACCAATTAATGGTATTTTGAAAAATAGAAATCTTGGCAACTAGCATTAATAATTGAATTCAGATAGTATATTCTGTAAGATCTCTAAGCAAGTTTAACTTTTCCTGTGGCTTTTCTTTTTCATACACCTATATAACTGTTCAGAAGGCAAAGCCTTTATTGACTACCACTGATTTTTCAGTTTGAGGCCATCTATCCTAGAGAGTAAGTTTTCTCCGAATATGTGGGAAATTAATTCTGGTTATCTGTAGTTCCTAGTGCTGTTGTGGCTTTTATGGGTGTTTACCTGGGAAGAAATATGATGAAAATCAGCATATCAGACATAGCATGCCATCATTGTAACCTGTAAGTGTTATATCTAACATTGATTACATTTATGAACTTCTTTTAAGTAATACTTACAATCTAAAATTATTTTATTCCTTTTAGTTACCTGTACAAAGTCCAGTTTTATTTTAAAAAACACTTCAATCTATAGCATTAAAGATTGTCATTTCTATTATTTCCCCTTTTAGTAATTATAAGGTAAAGAAAGTCCCCTAAGCATGATTTTTTCGAGTGAAAAATTATTAACTAGTATAACATCGTATTAAACTAGAAGTCAGAACACCTAGATACAAATCACTTACATCAACTATAACTATGAGAGTGATCTTAAAGAGGTGGGAAAGTAAATTTAACCACCTTGGCCTTGATCTAGTCATGTGAGTGGGGGAGAGGAGTAGATCATCTTTAAAGCTCCTTCTGGCTCTTAGTCTGTGGTTCTAAAAAGAAAAAAAACCTGATTTTTTTTTCCCTCTAGTTTCCACTGAAATCATTGGGAGAAATAGCCTTGTGAAGTAAGTCAAAACAATGCTAATTAATGGACTTTATGAAATCTTGATTTTTTTTTTTTTTTTGAGACGCAGTCTTGCTCTGTTGCCAAGGCTGGAGTGCAGTGGTGCAATCTTGGCTCGCTGCAATTTCCACCTCCTGGGTTCAAGTGATTCTCCTGCCTCAGCCTCCTGAATGGCTGGGACTACAGGTGCGTGCCACCATGCCCGGCTAATTTTTTCTATTTTTAGTAGAGACGGGGTTTCACCCTGATAGCCAGGATGGTCTGGATCTTCTTACCTCGTGATCCGTCTGCCTTGGCCTCCCAAAGCGCTGGGATCACAGGTGTGAGCTACTTCGCCTGGTCGAAATCTTGATTTTTTTTAAAGGAAGGTATATCCCTGGACAGGTCCTTTATTGTTTTCATTTGAAAGAGGTAGATCTGGGAACTTAAAATGCTAAGAACCAGATTCAGTTAAATAATCTGAGAAAGAGCTAGAAGAGAAAAGAAACGAGTGCCCACTATTTGCCAGGTATTTTCCTCACAACTCTATAGAGTAGGTATTAATTTTCTCATTTTGCAACTGAGAAAATAAAATCGCACATATTCACCAGTTTGCTCTATATCATATATAGGTAATAAATAATAGAGGCAGGGTTTAAGTCCAGGTAATCTAAATGAAGTGCATCTGAACGAAGCTTTTTTTATTATTCCACATTCAAATTTTGACTTTCTAAAGAGATGTTTGAGAAGCTTAGGAGGATGACTTTAAAACTGGAATTATTTAGAGAAATTTGTTTTTAAAGGACAATGGGCAGCACTTCACTGAGAAGTGAAAGAAAGGAAAAGAAAAACCTAAAATGTTGAATATTAATACAAAGAGTTAAGTATAAAACTATTTTTTGTGATTCATATCTAAGGGGAAGTACTAAACAGAATTTACATGGCTTATTCAAGGTATCATTTTAAAACTCAGTCATGTTTAAATAAGTTTAATCAGTCACATTTGAAGTAAATCAATTTTAAGATTTTGATTTAGGATTTTGGTAATTGGCTATCGTAAATGTCTAAATGGTAAATGAAGGAAAGAAATAGGAAGAGATGGGAGAATACCAAGATTTAATAAAATTTAATTAGCTTAGAAATATCTGCAGAAGGTGTTCTGCCAATTTTAGGACAGAACATCTCTCATGGGCAAAAGGTTTGATTTGTTCGCCTGCTGATAAACTGTATACATCATTTATCATCTTTTAATTAATCAAGTCTCCTAGAGTTTCTTAGGTTTGATAGTCCTAAAGTTTTGTAAGGACTGGTGAGAAACAACCTTAGTTATGATTGAACCCTATGAAACTTTCTTCTAAAATGATTCTAAATAACAATAATTAGCAGAAAATTAAAGGAAGGAAAATGAGAGCTATTGAAACAACAAAGCTGGATCAGAGCCAAAACACAAGCTGAATAGAAAAGAAGGGACTGGGGTCGTCCTTGGGGAAACCTCTTGGCCTCAAGGAGTTCTTTTTCTATTTAGGTACTTGGACCATCACCAAGTATGCCTTATTCTACCAACTTAACTGAGAGGTTGCTTTGGCTCCTGTTGGTTAACCAACATTTGGAGACAGAGAAAAGCAAATGTCATTTTGGCAACCTGAGCAGGAGAGAGGGAGCTGTGCAAGTCAGCTATAGAATTAATTAATGGGTTTTTAAAAAGAGAGAGAGAAAAGGAGGAATGAAGTTTTTGATGAAATGGAAAGCCATATTTGTCATAATTCCAGAAAAGAAGACATTTGAATGACATGTCCTCCTGCTGTTTGGCCCTTTCTCAGAAGTGAACAGCAAATCAGATGTATCTCTGTGGACCCCTTCTTATTCAGAAGATGATTAATTTGAAAGTCATCCAAGCAACTTATTTCTCCTCTTTCTTTTGGCGCCTGACTTTTGGCCATTTTTCTCATTACTACTATGAGAGGGAGATTTTAAAAAATGAAGAAGTCAGTTTTGATTATTAAAACCAGTTACAACATGGTTTATTGAATTTAGAAATGAAAATATTACATAAAACAAAATATCTTTATTCTTGTGGCATTTTAAAATATGTTTTATTTCTATCCTGTTGCTTATGACTATGAAAAGTTTCTAGAATTAAACTTTATGTCTGTATCTAGATCCGTCTCTAAGCATTTGACATTTTTGTTCATCTGAAAAAAATTAGCTTTAATATGAATTCTATAATGTTGTCATGATGAGATCCTCTTCCTATAACTACTAGATACTGTCTTTAGCTTACAATTGTCAGTTAGGTTCCTGGTATATGTAATAATTTTACACAGATAAATTTAGAGTCATAGCTATGCTATTTCCATGACTTTTTTTTTATCCCAATAACTACAGTGTCTTTTCTAAACATTTTTCTTTAAATATTAGGCTTTCTTTATGACTCCTAATTTATAGAATCATTTAGAACTCTTGTCAAACACCTTTAATTCATAGTCAGTAGTGCACAGTATTGAAAGATAAGTGGAGAAAAATATAATCAACTTCTGCTTATAGTTGTCAAGATGTTGACAGCTGTTATGAGACCTCAGTTCTTAGTTTAAAAGAACTTAAACAAGAAACACACAGCAAAGGAGATGTAGCATAAGCAATTTGTTGCAAAGGAAAAAGAATATTGTGAAAGTTAGGTGCAGAATAGACAGTACACTCTGAGAGAGATTCAGGATAGGCTGCTCATAAGGGGGAAACCACCAAGACTAGCACTAGGTAGACTCCCTTTATGGGAATCTTACATGATTATTTATAAGGGGGTGGAAAGAGCTGTTACTAGTAAGCATGTTCTGGGTGGTCCTCTGGGTGCACGTATGCAGTAGCTGTACATGCCTATTCATATGTTGCATGTCTCATTAGCATCTTAAATCTCCACCCAGGGGTATTTGAGCAAAGGGTCAGTTTGCGGACAGGTAAAATCAAAATGCACATGCTCCCTTCAGCGGAAATTTCCTAGCTGTGCTTGAATGAGCTTGACTACAATGTGTATGCTGGGGCTTATTGTGTTAACCATATATTCTCCACAGTTGCCAAATTCCAAGGACATGTTAATTCCTTGACTACCTATCCTACCTCAAAGAGAGATAGGTAATTGAAATGAATTTGTAAAATAGTAATCCCAGTTATTCTTTTAACTACATTTCACATACTACATGTTTGCTAAAGTGGTCTTAGTCTTTTAGAACAGATGTTAAAAAGTGAATGTTTGACTTTAATATCTACAGTCACGAAATATTCTAATAAGAAAAGTTAAGGTGTATAACTCTCCTCACTGTAAATAAATCCGTAATTCAGGAGCCTAGTGGTTGAAAGTGTGGACTCTGGAGTCAGACTGCCTGGGCTTAAAACTTGGTTTCACCACCTTGGGCAGACTCCTCAGCCTCTCTCTGCCTCAGTTTCCTTATCTCTAAAACAGAGATAATGATAGTTTCCACCTCGTAGACTATTGTGAAATAAGTGTAAGACACTTAAAACAATCCCTGACACAATGTAAGAAGTAGATATTAATGATGGTAATAGATAATGATGGATGATAATTTTTTTCTGTGTCTGAACAGTATATGTTGTTTTGTTCACTTTTTCTACTTTATCTTCTCACAACCCTTATATGTCAAAAACTAAAAATTGGCTGGGTGTGGTGGCTCATGTCTGTAATCCCAGCACTGTGAGAGGCGGAGGTGGGCGGATCACTAGAGGTCAGGAGTTCTAGACCAGCATGGGCAACATGGTAAAACCCTGTCTCCTCTAAAAATACAAAACTTTGCTGGGCACTATGGCAAGCGCCTCTAATCCCAGCTACTCGGGAGGCTGAGGCAGGAAACTCACTTGAACCCGGGAGGCAAAAGTTGCAGTGAGCCGAGATCATGCCACTGCCCTCCAGCCAGGGTGACAAGAGTGAAACTCAGTCTCAAACAAACAAACAAAAACTAAAAATATACTCTCTAGCTCTTACAAATATGCAGTCATGCTTCATTTAATGATGAGATTCCATTCTGAGAAATGTGTCATTAGGTGATTTCATTCTTATGTGAACATCATAGAGTATACTTACACAAATCTAGATATTACAGCCTACTACACACCTAGGCTAGATGATAGAGCCTATTGCTCCTAGTCTACAAACCTGTATAGCATGTTATTGTACTGAATACTGTAGGCAATTGTAACACAGTAGTAAGTATCTGTGTATCTAAACATATCTAAACATGGAAAAGGTACAAAAAATACCATTATATAATCACATGGGACCACCATCGTATATATGGTTCATTATTAACCAAATTGTTATTATGTGGCGCATAACTGTATTTTAAGATCCTTTATTAATCTTATATGATCTTGTTAATTACTGAATGAAAAATATTTGCAAAGATCTTGTCCTCTTCTAAGTTCTAAAATAATACCATCATATTTATCTCCCAGTAAATAATAGGGTAAATGTAAGCTTCAAAGTAAGTATGTTACATGCCTGTCACCAGTGTAAGGCTGAATATTACCATGTTGTCATAGCCAAGAACTACTGGCCAATCCATTAATTAAATTATATCTGTACTTTTGTTAAGGTTATTTATTTTATATAAAGTGATAAGCATTCATTTGGTTTCATATTAGAGATCCAGCTCAGCCACTTTTGGAACTGATAACATTTTAGACATATGGTATTACTGAAATGACTTTTTAGAATTAAAACCTACACAGCGATTTCTCAGTAGTTCCATACCATGAAATTTACTACTTATTTTTCTAATCTCTTTTCAGTGAAAACACATGTATTTTCAGGTATCTAAATATATAATTAACAAAGGTATAGGAAATTAACATTGTAGCAGTTGCTTCATAAAAGTACTTAATGTATGCTTTTTCTGAAATGGTATTGTTGGTTATTATTAAATCTGTATTTAAGATTTGAAGTTAATTAAAATTCGTATTTTTATGTATGAAGTCAATATTTTGAAATGAAAGCACTTTTATAGGTAAAATTTGGGTAGTTTTTCCTAAAAAATGAATTTAAAGTAACAGAATCTTCCTTGGAGGGGACAGAAATTAATTAACTGAATCATCTAGTTTGTTCCGATTTACTTATTTAATATTTAAAATGTGAATCCTTTATTGTGATATTTTTTTTCTTTAAAGATCCATCACTATCTGTAATTTAAAGTTTCCCTTTGCTCTTAAAGCTTGTACAATTTCAGGATTTCTGTATAATTTTTAAACTTTAATGAAGCTTTTTCTAAAAATAGTTCTATTTAATTGGAAAGTGAAATCTTGTTCTTTTTACTGGGGGAAGGGATTGCTACAGATACATACTACCTTTTAATTATTGATGTAGAGATGATTGGATATAATTATTAAAACTTTATGAATAAGAAAGGTGGAAAATACAGGATACTACAAAATAGAAGGAGAAAATTTATGTAAATTATATTTTATCACTCTTCTCGCTCCAGTTATAATTGAAGTATCTCATTAGAGAACTGCTTCCTATTGTATAATGTATATCAAATATAACAAATTAATAACATACCAATATTTAATTTCCCACTGTAACTTTTATTTTGCCACAGAATAAGTAGTATGGGTTTTTGTAGGGAGTGAGAGATGTTCTTTCTTAGGAATATTGAATTACCATGCTGCATTTTGAGTCTCATAGGCAATTCATTTAGCAAGTAGTTATTTAATTGAGTATAGGCTTCTTCAGACAAACTTTAGAAACCAGAATGTTCAGATAGTAATTTCTTACCAGTTTAAAGATAGCATCTGTCTTCATGGATTTATTTCTGGGGCATGTGGCAGTTTTAATTTGATAGAGTAATTTTTTATATAAACGAGGTTATGATGTACTTGAAAATTCTCCAATTGCTTCACTTTCTTTTCTGATGCTGTCTTTGTCTTAGGGTATGTATATTAAATCTACATATGATGGCCTCCATGTAATTACTGGAACCACAGAAAATGTAAGTATTTTAATCTTTCAAATTTTTATGTGTATTTTTCTCTTTTATTGCTAACAACTTACATATCTCACATGATTGAGGCTAACAGCTAAGGATAAGGACATAAACAGATAGTAGATACAATTTAAAAGAGATACTGAGTTAGTAGCATTGGTTCTGTTAGAATTTAATTTTTTTTGTTGTTTAGAATAGCTATTTACTTAAAGTAAATCAGGTATTTTCAGCCAGAGATTTGTCTATGTTCTGATTCATGACAAGTTACTGTGACATCTGAAAGAATTCATTTCCATCTGTCAAATGATTTGGTTATTTTAAGAAACTAAACTCATATGAGAAATAAATTCAGATAAGTCAGGTTTTCTGAATACTTCCAGTATAATTCAGCTTAATTCAGTGGAGGGGCAGCATGGTATAGCTGAGTGGTTTTCACAGTGTTATTCCTGGACAGCAGCATTAGCCTCCCGTGACAATGTGATGTATATGCCGACTGTCAGGCCCCATCCTAGACCTACTAAATCAGAAATTCTGGAGACCAGCTTATTTCTTAGTAAGAGATTTCTATTTTAACAAGTGATTCTGAGGCATAGTTGCGAACCACCATAAGCAGTGGGTCAGAAGTCCACATGCCTACGTCCTGCAACCAGTTCTGTATCTTAGTGGCAGTGTAATTTTGGGCAAGACATTTAACCTCTCATTGCTTCAGTTTCTTTGACTATAATTGGAAACAAATTATCTGCGCTACATACCTCCCTAGGTTGTAATGAAAATTAAATAAGCTAAGAAAAGCCATGCTGTAGAGAATTATCTGTGTTATGGAAAGAGAAGTATGAAGTGATCATGCTGGTTATTATTAACATTATCGGTGTGATAGAGTTGAACAGCGTAATAGATCATTATTCTTGCATTTGGTTATTTCAAATTTCTATTCTGTTCTTACATAAGCAGATACTGAGCTTTGAATGTATTTTTTTTTCTTTTAGACATTCTGACAATTACATGTTTATGCTGTGCTTCTTTAAAGAAGACTTAGATGGAATTAGTTTAATCTCAAATTATTACTGATCTGAACATTTTACCAGCATTTAATTTTTAAAAATCACCATGCTTTTCATCTAATTCACCTGTTACTTTACTCACTTACTGATATTTTGCCCTGCTTCTCTTGGTTTCCTGTGAAAGGTGAAACACATACTATATATTTGCAGTTGGATTACAGTAGCAGCTTCACATGTGGTATTAAATACAAGCGTCATATAAGGGATCAAGAATATCAGTAACATCCATATTATGAAGATTTTAACAATTTTAAATGCAGCTAAGATGCTACAAACTATACTCTTGTCATTGATTGTCCATTCTGATGTATGTATTCATTCATTTATTCATTTGTTCATTTAACAAACCTCTGCTTCATGTCTGCTATGTTTCAGGCATGGTGCTAGGTATTAGAAGAATCTTAAACTAGTTTGGTGCCACCAAGGTGTGGAGAGCATGTGGGGGTTCATCTTTATACACAGTAGTGTAATTTGCATGGATGGACAAAGGGAAGAATAGTAAATGCTGCCAAGTGAAATCAGAGAAGGAATCACAGAAATGGTTATTTTGAACTGTATCTTGAAGAATTGGTAGGAATGGATCTCCCTATATTGTCTGGGGTCTGTTAAAAAATGTTGAGGAGTATGCCTTGCTCATATTAGTAATGTTTGATAAATAGATAAGTGATCAAAAGAAAGATTGAGTCTGGGAGTAGTTCACATATGAACCATATATTAATAGTTCATTTCTGATTTTTTTTCTTAAAAATATTTAATTATTTTTGGTAACCTCAGTCATTTATAATTAGGAGAGCTGTACTGAGTCTTAGTAAAGCTGCTCACTAGAGTGGATAAGTTATTTTACTTTGCTGTGCCCTAGTTTCTTAGTTTTCTTATATGTGAAATGAGGGGTTTGAACAAAATCCTATCTCTAGGATCTCTTTTAAAACTAAAAGTCTATAATTTATATGACTTCTTTACTTACCTGTGCAAAATATTGTTTCAGTTTCTTTGAGTTTTATGTACTATCATTTTCTTCTACATAGTGAGTAGAGCCATTTGCTTGATATTTTTTCCATACTTTTTTAAAAAAAGATAAGTTGGGAACCAAATACCACAGGAACCAACTATAGTTACAAATATATTAATGATTAACAATCTTTTCAGAATTGTTACATGGTACTTGTCTGACTTGGTAATATGTCCCCCTCTTAAAGGTGCTGCGAGATGAACATGTTATATTATTGTTATAACGCTATTCTTAGAGTTTGTATTGTAGATTAATCTATACCCTTAATAATGTACTTGTGTTATTACTTCAGCAACTAGAACTCCCTGGTATGGTGTCTTATCTTGAATTATAGCCTATGACAAATAATTTTATTGTGAATTTTGAATATTTGTTGAATGGAGGTTAACATTGTTTCAAGACTTATATGTTTTCAAAATAATTGGAAATGAATAAAAAATAAACTAACTGGAAATCACTATTAAAGTATGTCCTACTCCAGGGTCTCAAAAGTAGCATTTTACTTTGCAGATTATATTACCATATTATTCTTTAGCTTTCAGTGGATAATAATGAATAGTATCACAGCATTTACGGTTGTATTTGAAAGATAAACAAATACATTTTTTATATAGACAAATACATTCTTATAAAAATATATTTCTATATATTCAAAAGTTCAAAAGCATATTAAAATGCATGTAATCTATATTTAGTAGCTAACAGAAGAAAATGTATTTTAATTTCATTACTGAGACCTACAATAGAAAATTTCTATCTTAAACCTTATTTTAATTTCATAAAAATTCCTTAAAACTTGTCAGTATTAGCTTACCAAGTTGTTGGGTTTTTTTTGTTGTTTTGTTAGTTTTTGTTTTAAATCCCTTATGGGAATAAAAGGAAAAAGTGATAGATTGTTACATTCTATAAAAATATTGCCATTTTAGTTCATTTAGTTTGGTTTTATTGCCCAGTGTATTACATTATATGTAACAAGAAGTAACATCCTCTTATAAGTAGACACTTAGAATGTTATGTAATATGATTTGAGCTAATTGCTGTCCATCTTTTATTTTGCTAGATTATTCAGAATTAGTGTTGTTGATAAAATAAATTAGCAGTTTAATTATCAAAGCTTTGATGCTGATCACATTCATGTACTGGAAAATATTGATTTGTTGAAGTTAATGTTAATTATTTATATTAAATGAAAAAGATCAAAATACAAAAAGATATAATTTTTTGAAATGTAGTTTTGAAGCAGTTACCCACTAGAGACTAGGAGAGTTGCCTGTATAAAATTTACAAAGGTTAATACCAATTATCATTTTTTCATAATGCTCTGAGAAATGTGTTATTCTTTTATAAAAACTATCTGTATATTATTTTGCATTTCTGTTTGTTGTCATTAGCTATGCAAAAAAATGCAAGCTTTTTTTACTAATTTTTTCTTTATGTATTAATTTAACTCACTCAAAAGTTAAAAACAATGTATTAAATACTAGTAACCATTTTATTAGTTTAATTCCTTGAAAATTTTAATTAATTTTTAAATCTAATTTATGGAGGTGAACTTTTTGTAGTGTTTCCAGAGAGAGGAAATGACTGATAAAATTTATACTCTTTATCATTTCTTTTATGTTAAATTCAGTCACCTGCAGATCGGTGCAAGAAAATCCATGCTGGGGATGAAGTGATTCAAGTTAATCATCAGACTGTGGTATGTATAATTACCTTAAGAGTCAGTGGGAGGAACTAATTTTGATTTGTTAAGGCTTTAGAAGAATGCCAATGAAATGAAATTCCTGTTTCCAATATATTGAACAGCCTTTTGAAAAAATAACTGAATATTTATTCTTCTTAATTATTTGATGAAATGTAAAGCATTGTTTTAAAAGAACATGAAGAGTATTGGTGGTTGCGGTTAGCAATACATTTCTATATGGACAAGTACTGGATAATAGTACATATTCCATGAGCTGGAATAACAATTTTGGAATAGTAATTAAAGTGACAGTGTGTATAAATTCAACTTTTCTTGGTACAACTTTTAAAAGTTTCACTTTATAAATTATTGAAATACCTAATAGATGTTTTATAACAGCATACATGCATTTGTCTACTTTAACATTGATTTGTTCATTAAAGTGTCTGGTGGTTTTGGGGTGAGTATTTAAAATGTAGATCTTTGAAAATGTTTAAATTTTTAGTAGCTGAATTAGCTTTTTTTCCTAAAAGAGGACAACAGTTTAGTTTTAGAAAATGTTCTTGCCCTATGAACCTCACAAATCCCTTTGTTATCTGCCCTTAAAAATCTACAGTAGGCACAGAATCCCACTGTTATAAAAAATGACAATGAGATTCTGTGCCTACTGTAGATTTTTAAGGGTTATTTTTCTTAATCTTATATTTAGAAAATGAAAATTATATGCTTTTCATTTTGGACTATTTTATATGTCTCAGTTAATTCAATTCATTCCACTCTCTCTGCCAAAATAAAGTGTATTTGTTATCTTAAAAAGTTAAAATAATCTAAAATTATTAATATCATAACTCATTTGAAAAAAATGCAGATTTTTTATTAGTATTCTACTCCTATCTCACTAACTCATCAGAGTGAGTAATTATTTCCTGTTACGCAATTTAACTAAATTTGCTTTTGTATGTCCTAGTGATGGAAGAAATTTTGTGAAAAGCCTGATTTTTCTCAGTGATTCTAATCATAAGGCAAATGACATTTCAATTTTGGTTTTGAACAATTTGAGAAGTTTGTGATATTTTGGAAAGGTTCCTAAACACTGATAATTAAAGCCATGGTGTCTCTTCAGTAAGTTCATTATCTAAGTGAAGTAAAAGTCTGTAAAAGTTTTCAAAATTAAATGCGTGGGTGTACCTTTGACACTGAATAGTAGAGTGTTGGTAGTAGACAAAGCCTTTCCACACTATGACAGTTTTGATGGCTTTCTTTTCTGATTACTAGAAACTGTACAAAGTGGTTGTACTGACTGAAGTTTCATGTCCCTTAGATGAGGATTTGGACAGTGGGGTAAAGCAGCTGCTTCAGTAGACTAGCAGCTTTTTCCTCTTCTGATGTTCATGCTGCTTCCATTTCTGCAATATGAGCTTAACAAACATGACATCTGTTGAATAATTTCAGCATGCATTTCCAGGTGGTCAACTCTAAGAAGATAGAAATTAGTATCTAATAAAAATAAACTTATTTAAAGGATCTCATTTGTGCAACAAAGATACTGATGTTTATAAAATGAATATGAAAGGCTTTAAAAGTCTACAAATAAACTAATAAAATCTATGTGGATTGGTGACCTTTAAATTCCTAGAATGTGTAAATGCATCTTTACATCACAGGAATATTCTAAAATATTGAAAACTACACAGAATGATGTTTGGGGAAACTTGGTTCCAGCTCTTGCTCTGAAATTGACTTATGGCTTTAAGTGAGTCATGGTAACTGTGCATCTATTTGCCTTTTTATAAAGATAATAATGATAGCTAACACTTACTGTGTTCTTACAGTGTGCCAAGCATCATGTTCAGTATTTTACATATTTTATTTCATTTAGTCCCTACAATAATCCTGCAAATAAGGTATATGTAGAAATTGAGACTCAGAATAATGATTCAACTCACCCAAAACTCAAAGCTGTTTGACTCTAAGGCCCATGTTTTTACTTCAATTTTATTATACTGCCTCCCAAAACTCAAAAATTATGTAACTGTCCAACAAAAGAGGAAGAATCCTAGGCAAATCTCAGGATTCAATGAAAGATTAAGTAGGATCAAGGGTAAGAGAAGAAGAAAAGAAGTGAGACTTTATATAACTGAGTGAGTCAGCTGAACTGAAATAGGGTTAAAACTTAACTTTACTGCCACTTCCTCACTCTACTTCTTTCACTCAGATAAGTAAGATATGTAAAACACCTCTCATAATGCCAGGCACACATTAGGAGCTCAATAACAATTAACTTTCCTACCTCCGTTCTTCTCTTTTACCTGCTACAACAGTTGGACAATTGGAATCCTCTTTCTTGGCAGACTGCTACTACAGCCAACAAATTGATTTTGGGATATAATAGAGACAGGATAATATGTTGAATTTCATGAAAGTAGCCTTGTTTAATAATGTGATCGGTTGCCAGATTTTTTTGTGTGTGTTCAAGTAGAGGCATATTTGGGCAAAATGGATGCATTTCACTAAATGTAGCTGACTCTGCCCTCATTCTTTGCTGTTGCCTGTATTGTGATCTGTACAGTGCTTTTAATCTCTTATTAGGCAATATACAGAGGTGGTGAAATAGAAATTCTCTTAATTGAAGCAAGTATAAATTATTTATAGTCCGCAATTATCCCTTCTCTCTCTACATTACCATAGGGTATGCTTATGATATAATAGTTACATTAAAGTATGGCCTAATAAATTTGATATACATAATTAATATTCTCTAATCCATTAATTGACTAGAATAGTGAGATTGCCAGTATTGTTCTATGCCAGTTTAGACTCAATAACGAAAAAAAAATGTAAAATCTTAAATATTTTGGATGATTCTAACCCAGTTAGTATCTGTCTGTAATTCTGAAATTTCCTATGACTATAGGTAGTAATGTAAAATATAAAATCTGATATTTTTTCTTTACTTAAGATAAATAAAAAATTATTTTAAATATTTCCCTAAGAGTCTGAGAAAGTTGAATAAATCAGATGAATTCAAATACTATTTTTTTAATTGCTAGTATGGTATATTTTCAAGATGTCTAATTAGATGTCTATGTTTCTAGTTTGCTCCTTTTTTGAAAAAAAGTACTTTCTTATGTGAAATGAAACTGGAAGTTGTATGTCCTTTTTCGTGTTGCTATATTCTTTATTATAAGTGGCTTTGAAATTTTTCAAATTAACATACTTCTGTGGCTGAGAAACTGTGGCTGCCAGGTAGGAAGAAGAAAAATTTATGAACATCCAAGCAAAGCAGACTGATTTCTTATTACATGTCTTCCCACATGTCTTCCCCATCATTGAAGACCCAACTCCTCAAAGGCTGCTGGAATCTCCCAAGATTTTTTCTACTTCATCTTCCACTACATCCCTCTCTCTGGGAGATACCTCGGCATAGTTTGAAGCAGCAACTTTGCCCTCATGATGCACTTTTAACACATTTTTTAAGCTGATGAAATTATTTATAGTTATTAAAAATATTGGGGCATATTTATAATCTGTTCAATTTCATGTTAATACTGTTTTTGGTGTGCAAGGTTTCTAAAGATTCTATCCATGCTAAAAACAGTCTCTTAGGAATATCACTTGAAAAGAGTGGCATATATGATGGTTGAATCTATTAATAACATTTGGAAATTTTTCCTCTTATTTTGTGTAAATATTAAAACATATTTACTGTTATTTTGAAAGGTATTCTGGAGCCTGACAACTACATTATGGCAAGAAATGCTTCAATAGATGAGGCTATAAAGGATACTGAAATGGAAAATAACCAGGTTGGGATAGTCAAAAAGAAGATAAACTGCAGCAAATAGGATATTCTACATTTATTAGTGAGAGATGGAAGATAAGTACTATAAGCTAGTGGTTTTTGTTACCCCTAAAATGATAAACGTTGTTGAGAAAAACTAGGGATGGCAGAGAGGGTGGGAGGAGGGAACAGATTGAAGGACTATCTCGAAACTTCATCTAACTTCATTTATGTGTCTCCCTTACTCTCACTCTTATATCTCGTTTTGGACTCTGTCCTCACTCTGTTGTTCCTTCAACCCCAGAACGACAGGAAAGTATTGTTCAAAGGAGAAGCCAACATAATCAGAACGGATGGACAGTTTGGTAACTCCTTAAAGTTCATCTCTCCTTTTCCCTCCCTCTCACTTTACCTCCTTCCCTGGACTTCAGCAGAAATGAATGAGTCATTGAGTGGAATCAATACCATGATGTTGTCTAACAGCAGACGTGCTTTCACTTTTTAAATTTGCTAAATTGTTGTCTTTACTTTTTTGTTTTCTTCTAATTCTATTTTATTTGCTTTAGCATTCTCATCTCTTCTCATTTAACTATTTCTCCTCTACTCTTCATCTCATTAAGTTTTCTTTATTCTTGCCTATTTTCTTCTGTGCTACTTTCTCAAAGGAGAAAGTATTTGTCATATAATTCCATATACCTAAGATATTGAAAACTGAGACCACAAGGGGTAGTGTTTCTGGTGTACCCCACATCTTATTCCTGTAAACACACATTTTGCTGGACTACAGAGATTAATTATGTTAGCATGATATTTAACTATTGCCTAATAAATAACGGGTTCTTATAATGGTCTAAAATAACTATGTTCAGATTCTAAAAAATTGGTATTCTAAAATAGAACAAGTGAATCATTCTCTTTTGGAAGGGGGAAAAATTATGAAGAGACCTTTACCACAAATTAAAGGAAACAATGCATCAATGATTTCAGTTACTCATAAGAATATTTTATTTCAGATTCTACCTTATATAGTAGTTTATGAGAACTTCATAGATTGTTTCTCTTTTATTTCACATTGAACATTATGGATTTGATGAGAATGTGTGGAAACTGGTTTTGAAGCGATACATATTGATATAAAGTGTATTTTTATTTTGTACAGAGAAATCAATTTATTACTTTATTATTCAATATAATTCATAATTTTACTATTAAACTAAAATTTATTATCTTAAGT